AAATGGATACACCTGGAAAATACAATGTTAAGTAAAATAAATCAGACACACAATTTAAATACTATATGGTACCTCTCATTTGAGTAAAGCAAAGTACAAGCAAAGAAAATGATGTAGGATAGGTAGAAAGGGACAAAGAGGTGGATCTTGTGTAAAAGGGAGGTGATCTAAGGGAACAAGGGCAAGGGGTGAGGAACAGGAAGAGGAAATAAGGGTAAAGATATCCCATTTACAGGAACCTAGTAACCCCAGTTAATGTAAATGGTGTACACCGTAACATGACCTAAGACAGGTAACACAAGCAAGTATGAGAAAAGGGTTAGAGGAGCCAGTGGGGAGGGAAGACGAAGGAGATCTAAAAGAAGCAGGCTGTCGTGTGTGCACATAACCACACCCAAGGTGACGGTAAGCCGCATGCATTGCAAACGTGCTAATAAAAAGTATAGTTTTAAAAAAGGAACATGAATTGGAAAAAAAAGATACATGGAGCCACACAGCTGCTTATTGTTGAGTTTTAAATGTTTTTTAAAAGCCACTTTTTCTTAGCAACTCATAGAGTTTTCTCTAGAATAGATGGTATCTTAGACCATAAATCATGTTTCAATAAAAACAAAAGAATTAAAATAATCTCTTAGAGTCTGTAAGATCACAACAGAAGGAAACTAGAAATCAACATCAATAACAGCAACAAGAAAAATCCAGAAACAACACAAACACGTGAAGATTAAACAATACATTACTAAGTAATCAATATGTTAGAGAAAAGGTCAGGTAGAAATTAAAAGTTCCTAGAATCAAATAACAGTGATAGTACAACATACCAAAACCAGTAGGATTCAATAAAAACAGTTCTCAGAGGAAAGTTTATAGCTCCTACTACCTTCATTAGAAAATAGAGGATTACCAGTTAATAACTGGAGCAATCCAAATTCAAACTTCAAGAAGAAAAGAAATCATAAATATAAGAGGAGGAATCAATGAAACTGAGACTAAAAAATAATAAAAAGGATCAGAATGTTGGTTCTTCAAAAGGATAAATACGATCAATAAAGCCTAACTTACCAACAGAAAGAGCCATATCAATGCAGTTAGAAATGAAGAAGGCAAAATCACAGTAGATGCCACTGTAACCCAGAGGATTATAAGGAACCGTTTTGAAAATTTGTGTTCCAGTACATTGGAGAGTTTAAAGGAAATGGATAAATTCTTAGACACAAATGACTTACCAAAATTGAAATAAGAAGATGTAAAGACCCTGAGTAGACCAATAACATGCAGTGGAATTGAGGCAGTAGTAAAAATGCTACTAAGAAAACCCCAGCATTTTATGGATTCATCACTGAATTTTTTCAGAACTTCAGGGAGGAACTAATGCCAATATTTTTCAAAGTCTTCCATGAGGTTGAAAGAGAAAGCACACTACCAAAGTCATTATTTGAAAGCAGCAGTACCCTGATACAGAAACTCAGCGAGGACTCAACCAAAAAGAAAACCACCAGCAATATCCTTAATGAACATAGATGTATACAAATCCTCAGTAAGTTATGGGCAAACAGAAAACAAACCATTGAAAAGGTCATACGTTGCGACCAAGTTGGCTTCATCCCAGAGATGCAAGGACGGCACAGCATACATAAATAAATAAGTGTAATATACCATATAAATAGAAGTAAAGATAAAAATCACAGTTGACCCATAGATGCTGGAAAGTCCTTTGACAAGAATCCAACACTATTCATGATAAAAATTGTGATGGAAATAAGTAGAGAAGGACTTCACCTCCAACATAAAACCATTGTAACAAACCCACAGACGTCATACGAATGGGAAAACTGAAACAGACCCTCTAAAGTCAGGAACAAGACAAGGTTTTCCACTGTTACCACTTCTGTTCAGTATAATTGCACAACTTCAGCTGGAACAATCAGGCAAAAGAAAGAAATAAAAGGGTTATGAATATGACAGAAAGGAGTCAAACTCTATTTGCAGGGATATGATCCTGTACATGGAAGTGCCAAAAGAACTCTACCAGAAGACTCTTAGAGCTAATAAATAAATTCAGTCAACTGGTAGAACACGAAGTTAACACACAAAAAAGACAAATAGTTCCTGTATGCCAAAAGGAACATACTGAAAGAGAAGTCATTATAACAGTCTTGTTCATGGTCACTCCAAAAAATGAAGTCACTGCCAGTTGGACCAAAGAAGTAAAATATTTCTATAGTGAAAACTGTAGTACTCTGAAAAGATTGAAGGGGATATTAGAAAATAGGAAAACATCCCCTGTTCCTGGATAGGGAGAACCGGTATTGTCAAGATGGCCATATTACCAAAAATATAGATTTAATGGAATTCCAATCAAAATATGAACAGCATTCTTCACAAGACTAAAAAAACAATTGAAAAATGCCTGTGGAACCCATAGAGACCCAGGATAGCAAAAAGAACCAGCAACAAGAGGCATCACAATCACGTATTTCAAGTTCTATTACAAAGCCACAGTGATGAAACAACAGCATAGTACTGACACAAAAGCAGACATGTAGACTAATGGAATAGCGGACGCAGAAGCAGCTCCTATACCTTTTAGACATCTGGCCTTTGACGAAGTGGTTAAAACTAAATACTGGAGAAAAGGTGCCCTCTCACTTAACAAATGGTGCTGGGAAAACTGGTTGTCCAAGTGGGGAAGAATGAATGTAGACTCATATCTCTCACCCTGTACTAAAATCAAATCAAAATGGATCAAAGACCTAGTTATTAAAACGAATCCTGAATCTGGTGGAAAATAAAGTAGGTGGAACATTTGACATAGGGATACAGTGAGCTTCTGAACAGAACCCCAATCGCACAAGAAGCAACTCCAAGGATCTACAAATCAGAATATATCAAATTAGAAAGATTTTGCACAGCAAAGGAAACAATCAGCAGAGTGGGGAAACAACCTACAGAGTGGGGCAAAAATTTCCCAGCTACTTTTCTGATATAGGATTAGTACCTAGAGTATGTAGGGAACTAAAAAAATGAGACCTCCTAAAGCAGAAGAATCAGAAGATGGACAGTTGACATAGGCACTTCTCAGAAGAAGTACAAATGGCTGTAAATACATAAAAGGAAGGTCAAGATTTTTGGCCATTAGGGAAATGCAGATCAAAAACACATTGAGACTGCATCTCTCTCTAGTAAGAATGGCTATTGTCAAGTACTCAAAAAAACAACATAAACTGGTGGACATGTGGGGAAAATAGAACCGTCCCACACTGTTGATGGGAAGTAGACTAGTACAAACTCTATGGAAATCAGTATTGGGATTCCTCAAAAGTTTAAAATAGAAATTCCATTTGAGTCGGCTGTACTTCTCCGGAGTATCTTCCTGAAAGAGTCCAAGACGTTCTGTTACGTGCACAGCCAAGTTCGTAGCAGCATAATTCACAATTGTGAAGTTACAGACACAGCCTAGAAGCCCCTTAACAGAGAATGGGTAAGAAAGCATGGGATATACACACAGTGGAGTATTATTCAGCCACAAAGTCACTCACTTTTATGCGAGCCCCAAAATGTAAATCAAGAGCAAAACAAAGGAGAGATAACAATGGGCACCGTAGGAAACGGGGAGGCTGAGCCCTTGGAGGTGGGCAAGGACGCCTACAGAACAGGAAATGAAGCGAGAGGGGAGGTTGGTTGGGGAAGGGATCGAAAATGATCGAGATACAATAGTGCATATACTAATTCCCAAAGTGAAGGCAGTGAGTGCATATCACAAACGTGTACTAATAAAATTAAATGCCAAGTCACTTTCCACAAAGGATCAGAGACATCCTTGCCTATGGAAAATCCAAAAGGAAGATGCTGTGTAAAACGTAGTGCTGAAGAATAGTGTATTCCTAAAGGTGATTACAAGGGGCTGGGGATTTAGCTCAGCGGCACAGTGCCTGCCTGGCAAGCGCAAGGTCGTGAGTTTGATTCCCGGTACTGGAAAACAACCAAAAAGAAAAGGTGATTACAGAATTTTACTTGAACAGTTCTGTAAAACAACCACTCCCTCAGTGTTCCCTAGGCACAGTGACCCTGGAAGTGGGAAGAATCAAAGCCGGCCCATTTCACTCAGAGAGGAGGCCTTCTCAAAGCAGCCAGGTGGGTAGCTCTGGCATTCATCGGGGGGCACTGACTGCATACTGAGGCGCCCACACGTGCATCGCTGCGGGTCTGGCCGGGGCCATGGACACAGGTCCTGTCCTCTGGCAGCATGGCAGTGGCGAGTACCGACTGAGACAGGGACAGCAGGGCTGAGAGTGGGCAGAAGACGAGGCACTGGAGTGGCTTACGCCAGTCTAAAGACCTTTTCCCGTAACCTCAGACATGAACCTTCGTGTTTGTGAAGCCTGTCAGGAGAACACATTTTTAAGATATGGTAGAAGAAATAGCAATCATTATTTCTTACTCGGCTGAAAGATCCTATACAGGTAACTGTGAACGCTTGTTACCATCTATAAAAGTACGTTAAAGTAGTTCAGGAATTTTAGCAAGCCCCTTTCCCCGATCTTGCCTTGATGACGTCAGCCCGTTCTCACTAGTCTGTTCTTACAGACCCTTTCCTCACTTACTTCATTATCGCCCACCGTTTTCCTGCTAACTGGCCCCAGTTTTGCAGTATGTAAGTCCTAGTTTTTGTGCATCTGATGTTTAAATGTACAGATTAGCCTGAATGACATTATGAAAATTCACTAAAATTCCAGGTAAGTTGGAATCAATAGTTTTCCCCTTCTTGCTTTAATTTATTTATATTATTAGGTAAATTATTCTTAATAAGAAAAAAATAGAAACTATTTTAAAATTGCCCTTCAAATTACCAAGTGCTGCTATTTCTTAATGATTCTTTTCCCTACATGCAGTAAAATAATTGATTTCTGTAATTAGTGCTGTTTCCAGGGAATTAGGTTTTACAAAACTTTCTAAAATAACGTTTATGTATTTATAGGTGAGTGAAGGCAGCCTGTCGTCTTTCACTCTTCCCCTGTCTGGAACGAGTACATCAGAGTCACAGGAATGTAGCTCAAAGAGGAATGCGTGTAAGATTGCTTCCGTGTTTCAAGTAGGATTTGCCAGTCTGCATTTTAACTCTCAGCACTGGTCCTTCAGTTTGTCCTTTCTGTTGCTGCTGTTGCCGCGTACCTCTGAGCTCTCCCTGCTCTGCAGACAGTCCCTTCCCTTAATGTAGGTGCGAAGTGTGTGCTGGCAGAAACCTGCGTGAGATAAGTCTGTGCCAAGAGCAGCTTCTCCCCTTCCATAGTTACCCTCCAGATACGTGAGACATTAGCATCAGGGTTCTGTCACTTTTTCTTACTGTGCAGACTGGGTGTTTAACCTCATTCCCTTCTTCTGTTTAATGTAACACTAATAAATTGAAAGATGCCATTAAGTGAAACCTTCTTTTTCCATGCAAAAATTTAGAGAAAATTAATGTGATCCTCCTGTGTTTTAATTGCATGAAATCATGATGCAGAGTTTTTTGGCATGATACATTGGTAGAGAGTTGTCCAAATTCAAGGGACTAACCATATGGCAGTCTCTGTTTATCATGTGACTGATATCCTAGAAATTTAGGCACTTACATCCATGGATTTTTATAATGCATCCATGACTTTATGCCTCTTAGCTGTACACACATCTTTCTGTGCAAAGCACATTCTGTCATTTACTCGAAGTGGATTATACAGTTAGATAATCAGTGCTTAAAATGAGAAGAAAAAGTGGAATGTTACATACATTTTTTTCAACTGGAGTAATAAAGATTTCTTGTATGAGACAGATTTAGTGAAGTCTACTGCTAGTCATTCAGTATCTCCTTTCAAAAAAATAATAAGGTAGTCATTTATTCCCATCCAGCTTAGTATATTGACTAAAATTTATGAATTTAAAAAATGCTTAAAGCATTTGACTGTTTTTTATCTTATTTTGCCTTTACAGTAGCGTCTGAAATACAGGGATTAAGAACAGTTGAAATAAAAAAGGTAACTGGGTATCTTCAGATTTCTATTTTCCTGAACTGTCTCACTGTCTTGTAGTACCTGTTTGAGAACATAGTAATAGATACTTACGAAGTGTTGCAATGAAAATGGTGACTATAGTCTTTACTGGATTTCTTACTCAAAGTTCCTCATTTGAAAAATCATTGTGTGTATATTTTATATTGCCAAAAGTAGCATTAGCTAGAGCCCACACAGAAGGGTGTGCCGCTTTTCCTTTCCCACACTGATCAGTAACTTTCTCTTCAGTGGGTGCTTCTCTGTCCTTCCGGAAAGATTTCTCTCACAGCCATACACAAGAAAGAAAATAAAAGCCACTGCACTCACTGAGGCTTTGCTGCAAGGTAAACACTGTTCAGACACTCACCCATCACAGTGCCCTGCCGTATTCACCGCAGCCTTCCGCAGGACACGGGTCTCTGTTTCATAAGTGAAGATCTAGTGATTACGAAGACTGCTCTTGTTCCAGGTCACAGCGTCTGTAGGTCACATGCCTGGCCTTGAACAGGGCTCTCTCCGAATCCTTACATTGTGATCTTTTCACCTTGTGAATTTACCCGTTCCACAGCATAATTTCCATCAAGTGTACCTTGGTTTCTTTTGCTTTCTGGACACCTATTTTCCTAGTAAGGATCTGTGTCAAATAAGGCAGTGCAGTTTCCACTCTCACACCTGGAAGATCAGGGTCCACACTAGAATACTGCGCCAGAGAAGAAATGTCAATTAAAGATCTCTTTGACCAAAATACGCTACCTGTTCCCTGGCAGGGGCCTTCTGACTCCCTGGGGATCAGTGTTGCCGGAGGAATGGGGAGCCCGCTTGGTGACGTTCCTATATTTATTGCCATGATGCACCCAAATGGCGTTGCAGCTCAAACCCAGAAACTCAGAGTAAGTTTTGCTAAAAACAGTAGCAGTCTTCAGCAATTTAGCAAAGTGCTCTATAATTTTCAATCTAGCCGTGTATTGCAAGGGAGCTCTAACTGTATTTTTTTAAGTTAGCTAACCAACCTGTAGCAGGGCTTCCTTTAAGTGAATTATAAAGAATATTAGAAGAAAGAAGAAAATGATACTATTGAATGCAAATGTAAAAATAAGTGAAGTGATAAAATGTACAGTTATCTCTTCGCGCACTTTCATTACATTTTTAGCACCATATGGGACAAGATAGAACAAGCACATTTAGAACAGTAATATGAAGTGAAACTTCTCCCTTATAAGATGTATTGGTTTGTATGCTGGTTTAACTTTATTGAATTGAAAAGTATCATTTGTGTTTGATTATAAAATCTGCAGAAATTTAATGTAAATATCACTTACTGTATTCTAAAACTATATAAAACTTACCTCAAAATTGAGGGGTTATCCAAATGTAGAGTACTTTGGTGAAATTCAGGCTGACTGCCCAATGCTGAAATCATGTGAATATTCTTTTAAAAGCACTCAGTTTCCCAAAAGTAAAATATCTATGACATCACGCTTCAGCAAGGTCTTTGAACATAATCAAATCTAAGTTGAAATAACCTCTAGGTTGGAGAGCTGGGCATGGTGGCACATGCCTATAATCCCAGCACCCAGGAGGTTGAGGCAGGAGGATCATTGCAAGTTCGAGAACAGCCTGGGCTCCAAAGTGAGCTTGTGGGGCTGGGGATTTAGCTCAGCGGCACAGCGCCTGCCTGGCAAGCTTAAGGTCGTGAGTTTGATTCCTGGTACTGGAAGAAAAACAAAAACAAGAAAACAACCAAACAAACAAAAAAACAAAGTGAGCTTGCTAGCAGTCTGAACTGCATAGTGAGCACCTGTTTCTAAAAGACAAAAAAAATAAAAATAACCTCTAGGTTGGGAATGGTTCTGGGATGTGTGTGTGTGTGTTTGTGTGTGTGTGTGTGTGTGTGTGTGTGTTACTGGGGATCAAACGCAGAGCCTCGTGCATTCTAGGCAAGCACTCTACCACTGAACTTCGTCCCCAGTCCCTCTGCCCCTCAGCCTGTTTTGATACCTAAGTCTATTGCTAACACTTAAGAAATGACTGTCACATTGCACAAGGGTCAGCAAACTCTTCTGATGTTGAATATTTTAGCCTCTGTGAGTCACGAGTCTCTGTTGCAACTGCTCAGCTATGCCCTGTGAAAGCCGCCAAATAAGCGTGGCTGTCTTCCAGCCAGGCTTCATTAACCAAAATAGGCAATTGGCCGCATGTGGCCTGTGGGCCTTCCTTTGCCGCCCTGACTTAGAGTCACATCTAATAATTCCAGTGATGGCGTTGGGAGAAATTTTGGTTCCCAAAGGATAACCATATTTATTATCTTAATAGGAAGTAATGCCTTACCCAGGAGAAATGAACACTGACTTTCTCCCCTCCCTTCTCCATGGAAGACTAGAAATTATCATGTACATCTTTCTGTTATTGCTTCTGGAGCTTGAAATTACTAGTTTCCTTCATTGTATTTCAGTAGTTGGTGGCAGTGCGTATGCAAAGTAGATGGTAGAGAAAGAAACAACTGTTCTGGTCTCAAAGTCCCACTCTACAGTTGCTTACGCAACTATTTCTCTGTGTTGCAGGTTGGAGACCGGATTGTCACCATCTGTGGCACAGCCACTGAAGGAATGACTCACACTCAAGCAGTGAACTTGCTGAAAAATGCCTCCGGCTCCATTGAAATGCAGGTAAGGTTTTCCATCCCAAATAATGATCAGAGATGGATAGCTTGAGGACACACGAGCTTTGATGTTAAAGCAGTGAAAACTACTAAATGCCATGCTGTTATTTTATTTAATATGTCCCTGGAACATCAGTGATTAAACTGAGCTCAAAAAAAAAAAAAATGCATGGAAACATATCCCATAATATTTATCCTGGTGAATTTATTGTTTAATACTTGCTATCCAGAGGGGAAGAGTATAAGCTCTTAGCAGTAAATGAGTACTTGCTAGAATTTTAAGTGGTCTGAATAAAAGGCTTGTATTGTAAACATCTTTGAAAAATAATTGCACAGGAATTCTTCAGACAGAGGACTAATATTTAGAATATATAAAGAATTGAAAAAATTAGACCTCCCCCAAATAAAAGACACCCCAAAAATGGGCAACTGAAATAAATGGATACTTCTCAGAAAGATTACAGATAACCAATAAACAGTGAAAAAATATTCAACATCTCTGGCAATTGGAGAAATGCAAATTAAAGCAACAGTGAGAGTCCATCTTACTCCAGAGAGAATGACTGTCATTGAGAAATTAAATAATAACAAATATTGGTGAGGCTGCAGGCAAAAAACGAACGCTTCTACATAAGTGGTGGGAATATAAACTAGGACAAACACTATGGAAATCGTTATGGAGATTCCTAAAGAAACTAAAGCTAGAAATTCCATTTAATTCAGCTAGTCTCCTTCCCAAAAGAGTTAAAGACTTCGTATTAAGTTATAAAAACATACCCATGTTTATAGCAGCACGATTCATAATAGCTATATCTTGAAAGCAACCTATATGTCTATCAGCAGATAAATGGACAGAGAAAATATGAGACTACTCAACAATAATATGGATACACTTGAGTCATTTGTAGGAAAATAAATGCACCTTGAGACTATAAGTTAAGTGAAATAAATCAGACACACAAGCCTAAATATCCCATGATTTCTCGTTTATGAGAAACCCACAATGTACATAAAGAGCAAAATACAGGTAAATAATAGGAAGTAAGGAGATGAATCTTTTGCAAAACAGACGGAACCAAGAGATGGAGGGAAAGAAAATAAAGGGGAAGGAAAGGGAAGAGAAAAGAATTAAAATGCATTGTGCACAGGTGCCAGCTCCCCGCAAGGAAGGTAACGTGAATTCTTCTTCCTGCCCCTTCCGCTCCGCTCCCGCTCTCCTCCGTGTGTGTCTCTGGTTGCATTTGGTGTGCGCAGGGATTGCTAAGTGGGCAATAAAACACACATTTCGTCCCAGCCGTCTTTTTAGAGAATAATTGCAGGTGTCTCCTAGCCACGTGAACGTGTGTTTTTGTTTTCTCTTCATGCCTCTGTGTGCAGGTGGTTGCCGGAGGAGACGTGAGTGTGGTCACAGGTCATCAGCAGGAGCCTGCCGGCGCGGGTCTTCCTTTCACCGGGCTGCCGGCAAGCACTGTGTTTCAGGAGGATTTAGGGTGAGAATGCATAGCGTGCTTGGTGCACCATGCTTTTCAGGAGCTAGATTTTCCTAACAGGTCCATGTTCTTTTCCATATTTTTGGCACCTACGCAGAGGTGAAGTAGTAGGGGATGTGCTTCGAAATACACAAACCAGGTGCTTTTAACAATTACATAATTATGCCATGGAGTCAGCTAATCAAAATATGTTAGATAGATGGATAGACAGACAGACCCATAGATAGCTATCCTGTTTCTTTGAAAATAAGACCTACCTGGAAAGTGAGTTCTAGCACAATTTTAAAAGTCACATAGGACTCGGGGCATGTCTCTTGTAAAAGCAGCTAGAGTTAGTTTGCCGGGTCAGTCTTATTTTAGGGGAGAGAGGTATGCATACCACTGCCCTTACCGTGTTGTAAACTCTGATTTAGGGGAGAGCATCTTAACCTCAATATCACCACCCTTGGTGACATGGAGCACGTCAAACCTGTGTTTGAACATTTTCCAGCACTGTCTACTCAATATAATCCTTTTGCTGGAAAAATAATTCATGTATTAGATAACAACACTGAATAAAAGGGCACTGGAAGATAGGAAGACTGAGGGAGGTGTTCAGCATGTGTAAATCATGTGATGCAGTGTTTACATACTTTAATTAACCGACTGTTCTCTGTGAGCTTTGTACCCATGTTTACAACTTACTCCAGTGTGCTCCCTTTAAGTCTAGCCTTCTCATTTTAAATGAACTGAAAAAATAATCAGCTGCTCTGTGCCGTAGAAACATGCCATGGACATGTTAGTTTAAAGCAGCTGTGAGTGAGTCATAGAATTAGAGCAAAGAGTGGGATTTCATTAGATCATGTAAATTTCCACTCCTGTGCAGAGCGTGCACTGACAGTTTCAGGACCCCCTAATGCCCTCCACATGCTGCCTGTCGGTCACGGAGGACTATCCTTGCTTTTGTAGATGTCACGGGAATTATGGATTCATATGTATATATAAATATATAAGATGATATTAAAATATATAATTGAAATATATAAATGCATATGAAAATAGGGATGTGTCATTTTAATTTCAGAATTCTTTTCTCCTGCCCTTTCCTGTAGACCTCCTCAGTGTAAGTCCATTACACTAGAACGAGGGCCAGATGGGCTAGGCTTCAGCATAGTAGGAGGGTACGGCAGCCCGCACGGGGACTTACCCATTTATGTGAAAACGGTGTTTGCAAAGGTAAGGCTGCACCTTTTCACCATTCTCTTCCCTACGAAGCATTCATTAACAGTGATCAGCAGCTGGCTTGTTAGTTTATGGCCTGAGGTAATGCCAAATGGTTAACAGTTGATCATTTTCTTTGTAAACTCCCTACAGGAGCAGGTCATTAAATACTTTTGTCTAATTTGAACTTTAGTTGTATTTAAAGGAAAACAGGCTCAAATTGAAACTCCATAGAAATTTTTAATAATATTCATAAATGCATAAACTTACGTTAGTAAAGCCTGTTTTTCCCCTTTGAAAACAAGTTGTGTGAGGGGAATAATCGTACTTTTAAATCTGTGTGCTATAGAACACTCACGCTGGTATTTCTCTGCATTTTGTTTTGAAACGTAAAATAGGCACACAAGAGCACGTAAAGTATACATGCGAATTAACTAACAGGGCATTTATTTTAGAAGTTTAATGTAGGTGAATAAAACAAAATTTCTAAAGGCAAATCTGAAGCGTACCGTGTAGCCCTGTTCCCACAACAAACGAGCTAATTTGTAATCAAGGACCTGATGCTTTTAAAAAAGGAAAACATTGGTATATAATTAAATAGTAAGAATATTTAAAATAAGAATAAAGATATTGATTTGATGAAACTGTTAACACAAAATTATCTAAATCTATCTTATGATTGCTATTACGTTCCTAAGACATTTTCAGAAGTATAAAATGGAATAAAATTTCCTGCAGGAGAAAATCTAGAATCTCAAAATTTTACAGTGGAAAGGAACAAAATTTATGGGAAGCCTGCTTAAAGATTTGATACAGAGGCTTTATCTTAGTGCCATTGTCCTTTAATTTTTGAAGGTTTATTCTTTTGTTTTGGAAAATATTACTATTTCTAAGCAATTTGAAGTGCTGTACCTATAGCGAGCTAGCCATAGGCTTAATTTATGACATTTTTAAAAATGCTATGTTCAGAAATACAAGTGGCATTTGCCAGTGAGTAAAAGGATCTTGCAGTCCTGTTCTCAGCCTAAGAACAATTTATTTAAGGCATGCTAGTTAAAACATATTTTAAGAATTTCATCATTATGGGTTCCTCATTAACTTTTCCATATTTTCATCGTATATTTAATTGCATAATTGCCTTCTCTAAATATGCCTTAAGGCAGGGTTCTTTTTCAAACAGCAGTGTCTGTATTTAATCATAATCAGTAGGCATGGGAATATGAAGAACCCATCTATCGTTTGGAAGTAAGAACCGAGGCAACTTGACTAGCCTTTTCAAAGCCCGGCATTGCGTGCGCGCGTGCGTGTGTGTGTGTGTGTGTGTGTGTGTGTGTGTGTGTGTGTCTGTGCGTGTGTGTTGCAGTGCTGGGTGTAGAATCCAGCCCCTCATGCACTTTGGCAAACACTGCGGCATGGGGTTTTTAAATCACCGCTTGTCCCTTTCCTGCCCTACCTGACCGTCATGTGGGCTTTACATTTCTGCAAAACGTTGGGTTTGTAGTCTTCGTGCCCTTGCCCTGGGAAACTGCTTTTGTTCCTACCGAATCTCTGGTCTTCTTTATGTAGGCCTTCTTTACAGGATAGAAAATCCTGGATGCTGTGAGATCATTCGTCCTCGGCAAATTTCCAAATATTCTTTATTAATTTGAGTTTCAACCAACTGCTGTGCTGAACAGCCAAAACACCCATCTAATCTATTGACTGCTGGCTCTTCTCTGAAAGTGAAATGTTAGCGCTAGAACCGTTTAGGAAAAAGTCCTCTTTTGTGAGTGGTCGCCATTGCTCAGTGGCTGTGGAGGACCCACAGAGCACAGAGAGCAGTGTGTGTGCGTGTGTGTGCGCGGAGCAAGTTACATTCTTGTTTAGAACTTTTCTCTGGTGTAGTTGTGAGACTGCATTCTTCGAAAAGTAAACAACCCTGTTTTATGATTGCAGGGAGCAGCGTCAGAAGATGGGCGCCTGAAAAGGGGCGATCAGATCATTGCCGTCAACGGACAGAGTCTAGAAGGGGTAACCCACGAAGAGGCCGTTGCTGTGCTTAAGCGAACAAAGGGCGCTGTCACTCTCACGGTTCTGTCCTGAAGTGGCGGCCCGAGCCGAGCCAGCTCCGCCCCTTGCTCCCCTAGCTTCCCGTCAGGAGAACGGGCTGATCTGACACGTGACGTTTCCTATGCTGTACTCATGAGGTCTTTAAAACTGTAATTGAAAAATAATATTTCAGTTTGTTTTTCTCAAATGGGAATGGTTTTCTCACTGATGACCTGATGTCATTTTTCCTTTTCTTTAGCATTTTGTGATTCTAAACACCCAGAGAAGGAACATTTTACACATAAATCCAGTTTCTCTTTTGAGGATATCTAAAGTTTTATAGTCACATGAACCAAAATTATTAAAAGGGAGGAAATCTTGTTAAAAGAGAAAGAGAAACAGTTCTAAAGGTAACTGTGAGAACAATGGTTTCACTGAATTAGGGTGAAAAATAAAAATGCACACAATACGGCAAAAAAATCTTGTGGAGTTTTATGAAAACCCGCAATTTGGCAGTTCACCTCCAGCCCCCACACCAAACTAAAAATTACTGAAAATCTTAATACTCGCAATGTTTTCACATTTCAAATATTATAAAAAATTGCATCCCCAAGTCTCTAGTATATATACATACTTTTTCCTGCTAAAATTATTTTCTATGATTAAGTAAATAGAAAATAAATGAAACAGTGTTCCTAGGTTTTGTAAACTCATTTTTAATGCACATTCTGTCACAATGTTCATTTTCATTTTCTGGCCTGTTATAAATCACTTTTGTGTTGCTGTAGTGAAATGTCGATGCTACCCCATGTTGACTGGTTTTCCTCTAAGCACCCAAGCTGGCCTTAGAAGAGCGTAGGTTCCAAGAATCTTCTAAGGTTGGTGTTAACAATTGATGCAACACTGAAAATGGCTTAGTGCACTGTACAATTGATTTACAGTTAGTATTAATGACAAAGAAGCAATGTGTCAGCAGTTAGTTTGGTTTATGCCATTAGTAAATGATAGAAAGATTAAGGGGGTTAACATAACTTCAGTTCATTGCTTTACATTAACATTGTATAATACAATAGTTTAAGACTAAAGCAAACAGATGGAATTGTTTATTGAGACAACTGGTGAGGAATTATCACGTGTTCATTCCCATTTTAGAGCGTGAAACTCCTACATTAGAATATATAAAATCACTTCAAATATCTATATTTGTAACAGAAGGAGTGTACAGCTATTTTGTCACAGCATTTTTGTGTAAATGCAGAATTAAAGTGAATAAGAAGGTTTGTCATTGGGTAGCTGCTAAGTGAAGGTAGAGGGTAAGGAAGAAACTGGCTCTGCAGAGCAAACTTGGGCCAAACAAAAGAGAGGAAAAGTTAAAAGGAAAAGTGAAGATACACCCTGGGGGCACAGGCGGATTATTGGGACGAGGCACAAACTCGTCGTGGTGTCTGTATCCTTTTATGCCGTCCACATCGTATCAGACTTGCAGGGACTTCACACAGGAGGTGCGAGCGGGCTGTGTAGTCTCTGCGAGCCTGCCATGCCTCTGCGTACAGTTACTTCCCAACCAGAGTAAATCTGCAAGTTTAACTGAATGCAGTCAAGTATTTTAGGTCAAGTTTAGAGGAGTGAATCTTCGAATGCCCACTATTTCAAAGTAGACTTAGATTTTAAAGAAACGTATTTTTTAGAAAACAGAGACAGAGATACGTGCAGACACAGAGACATGAGCGAAGGCCACATGAAGAGGGAAGCCATGAAACTGCTGAGGACTCCCGGCCCCCAGAAACGTCAGAGGCAAGGGTTCTCCCGAAAGCTTCAGGGGAGCTTGGCCCCCTCGACGCCTGCGCCTCAGACCCCAGGCCTCCAGAAGCAGAGAGAATGCGTTCCGACGGTTTCATGCGACCCGTTTGTGCTGCTTTGTTAGAGAAGGCTGGGAAACCGGTACTGTGGCTGAGCTGCTGTCTTTGTCCTGGCCAGGAAGAGATAATGGCTATTAGTTTACAAAGTCAAAGCTCGTGAGAGGAGAGAGGAAGGAAAGGAGATAACTTTGAAAGGGAAACAAGCTATACAGTCATCAGCTTCAGAGAGGAGCGGCTTATGCACCGTGTTACTTCTTGACATTGCGAGTTTTCCTGGGTGCAGGAAAAGGTGCTTCAGCAGAGATGCAGTAGAGTTCATCTGTTACTGACGTGTGTAACGCAGAACGGTGACCTGCCCCAAATGCATCACTGTAGTTTATGTGATTAAGTCAAACAGGAGACTGCCACAGATTTCCGGTGGTGTTCCTCAGTGCTCTGCAGAGATAGTAATAGCAATAATAAAATATTTCCTTCCTGATTCATAGCAACAGAGGTAGAAAGGCATAAAAGGTCAGGAGAACCCTTACATCAGGGCAGTGATGAAGTTCGAAGCAGAAAAAGGTGAAGAATCGTGAAGGTGAAGAAGGCAAGGAAAAGGGGGGAAGGTTTTCTTCATTTTCAAAATCTTGACAAAGCTTCTGCTGGACATGAAGAAGCAGAGGGGCTCTTTCCTGCTGTGCGATGCAGGGTGCAGAGGTTCCTTAGAACGGGTCACCAGCTGCCTGACGAGCTCCCAGGCAGAGATCTCACGCACCTCTTCGGATCTGCAGGGAGGTGCTGCAGGGAGGTGAGAGCAAGTCCACCTCTCAGGTGTGGGAATGTCAAAACTATCATCACCTGCTCTCCGCAGTGCTGGTGCGTCGTCTCACGTCCGCGACAGATATTCTGCAATGCTTTTGACTTGTGCCCTCAACTCCGTCTACCAGGAGTCAGTGTTTAATTCCGTCCCCTTCAAAAGGGTGCTGTTGGCAAAGCAGGATTGTCTTGTGTTCCCTGTGAACACTGAGGGTATTTCTGAATAGCATACCTAGGGAAAACTAGGGAAAATGTGTTCTTGAATTGATTTTTGTACGTTCTTAAAGTGATTTCTGCAGCTTTGTTTCTTTCAAAATATAACTATTCTATATTGTTCATTTAAATGGAAGCCATAAGAACAAATTGTCCAATCAATTTGTTAGTTAAGCGCAGAAAATCGTATATTGGGCCCTGAAAACAAGGGTGTGGAGAGGGAGTCAGGCCTATGGTGATGATCTCAGAAGTGTGCCGCTGAAGGTATTTCTGGAAATTTTAAAAAATATGATAGCATCTAAAGACCGCCTTTATCACAAGCTTCCCCTTGTTCTCATAACATTGGACATTTTGTGAGATAATCACCTTTTGTGAATATGTCATGATCTTTTCATACCCTACGTGCCTCCTCCTGACATGCCTAATTGAGAATGGAGAGTTATCTGCAGAAAACATTATGTTTTCTAAAAAATATGGTTTGTTTGTTTTTTTTTTTAGTCTGAGTCTACTTTGAAATAGTATTCAAAGTTTCACTCCTCTAAACTTGACCAAAAATACTTGGTTACATTCAGTAAAACTTGTAAATTTACTTTGGTTGGGAAATAACTCTATACAAACTATTAACACCATGCACAAAATAAGATGTCAAGGAAGTTTATTTATATTATCCTGGAAAACATTGAGTGTTATAAATTCAATATTTTCTGTAAATAGTCTTCAGTTTTTATTTTTGTGCAGTTGTGTCTTTTTTGTCTAAAGTTGGATGCAAATCAACTTGTACTAAACTTTCCAAAATTCACGCTTTTTTGTTATAACTTTCATGTTGTTTCCCATGTCTTATTGTAACAATTATCTACTAAATATTTTTCTTCAGGTATTTTTAACACAAATGATCTTAAATTGTATCTCACTACCTTGCATGGAAAACCAGTATTATTTGCAGTGAATACAAAATAACTGTGAGCAAAAACAGAAGCTCAAAAATTCTACCAAGATAGTGTTATATATCCATGATCATAATTTGAGGCCTGGTCTCTGGTAAAAGGGGATAATGGCAAATACTAGCACAATGTCAGCAACTTCATGGAACTTTCTGGAACTGAACTGAAAAGAACAGAAGGCATTTATTTTATCCTTACATGATCCTGTATTTGCTAATGCCTCACCAGGGCCAAAAAACATGGTGATGTATGCTCCCTCTTTGGAAAAATGACTATACCAAAATGAGGAAAGTTATGTTTGCAGGCCTCCTTTTCTTAAAATATGAAAATTTTCTGGTTAATTCTTGTTCTTAAGTGTATACTTAGCATCAGAAATTGTTTAAGAATTTGTTCATAGTATAAGGACTTTACTAAAGTCAGAATAGAGTTGCTGTGTCTAGTGTTTTACTTTTGGCAATTAAAGTTTGAAATAAAGGACAAATTTCATAAATTAATGGAGTAAAATTAATGTTGTGGTACTATTAAATAAAGCTAATGTCTCTTGCACCTGGAGGGCTATACAGATGGTGGGCATGCCTAATTATGCCCCCTGCTGCCTTTAAGTGTACTGATAAAGTCTCTCAGCTGAGTCTAAAATATGTTTGTCCACTGGTTCCACAAAGGTTTCGGTAAGGTAGCTCAGTACACAAAAAATGAAGTCTTACATCCTTCCCTTTTAAAGGAAAACATTTATAAATCTACAAGTTAAATGAAATAATTCAATATTTACCTAGCTTTTAAAAATAAATCATACTACAAGCATACTCTGTTCTTTCTGTCAATATTATTATGTTTATCAGTTTCAGAGAAAGATTATCCTAAAAAATGTGAGGAAGTCCTTAAATGTTTTCATTTTCATCCATTCCACATCATTTTAAAAAAATAATTTACTAGTAGAGCCCAAAGTAAGTTGATTTGATTTCAGAGTACATAAAGTGGATCGGTCAATTACTGTTCAGGTATTCATGAATTAATTTAATTCTTTAAAGGGTAACTTCTCTAGAAAATATATTGCCATAATTAAAGGTATGAATTGTATGTTTTACTACAAAGTATTCAGTAAGGAGACCGCTTTTAAAAATTTACTGTGAGTTCTCTTCATTTAAGAGTAAATTCACATGAACTTCATTTTGCCACAGTTGAATACCCATGTAGTTAGATGCACTACCAACCACATCTACTTGTGACTTCAGGGTGATTTTTAATATCCTTTTTTATAATATTTGTCATGTATAACTATTATTTAGCTACATATTTGTTATGTACATTTTTAAAAGGAAAGAGAATTGTTTTGATTGGGATCTTAGATGTCTCGCGAAGGTCATGAGGCTGGGGATCCTTTAGAGCACTGTTGGG